AGATGCTCGCACTTGCTGTCCTATCTGGCTGAGTGCAGCTGTTGGCTTTTCTCAGGGGTTAGTTGTAGCATTTGCAGCCTTCCTCGCAGAAGTATGCCGGAGTACTTCCTCTTCGTGGGCAACCCTGGCGTAGGAAAGAGCACGATCTTGAACGGCCTCATCTCGGAACTGAGGTTCAAGTCCGGCTTCAGCCCTGGCCAGGGGATGACTTCGGTACTTCAATGCGAAGAAAAAGGCGGCAAGTTTTACATGGACACTCCGGGCTTAGCCGACGTGGAGAAGCGAAGGATTGCGGCGAAAGAGATCGAGAAGGCGCTGAAACAGGACGGCGACTACCGGATCTTCTTTGTGTTGACGCTGGAATCAGGGCGAGTGCGCCCGCAGGACAAGGCCACCATGGAACTGGTGCTGCAGGCCGCGCCCTGCATAGGCCACAAGTACGGCATCCTCTTCAACAAAGTCAGCAAGCGGGCAGTGGCCGAATTTTTGGAGAACCCCTCTCGTGCTGACCCTAGTCCGAGAGACGTCCTGCTGACGCACCTGTTCAGCGGCAACCTGCCCGTCACGACAGCGATTCACTACAACCTCAAGGACGATGACCTGGAGGATGCTATGAATGTGGTGAAGCCATTGAAGCCAGAGCTGGTCCGGTTCATCCAAGGCCTGCCTGCGATCCACATACATTCTAGCCAAGTACGGGAGATCAAAGCTGATCAGTATGAGCAGATGATGGAGGCCATGGAGAAGAAAATGGCCAAGATGCAAGAGGACAACGCGGCCTTGTTAGCTGAGCTGGCACGTGTGCGAGAGCAGTTAGCCAATGCAGGAGGCGGAGGCTGCTGCTTGCTATGACTTGGTAGCGGGGGCGTGCAAGAGACCGCTTCCATGCAGCAGGATGTTGACGTGAGTATATAAGTCTGACCGAGTGAGTCGCACTCGTCGAAAAGCTTTGCTAGCTGGGCATGATGCTTTGTATGCTCACCCCGAGTGGCGCACTGCTGGCTCGTCTCCTTCCTTGTTCACCGCCACTGATGATCGAAGGCAGCCGTCGTGGCCACAGCGAGACCGAACGTTGCCGGCCAGTGTGTCGCTCAGCGGGCTGCGAATCGGGGAGTGAGCAATGTCTGTGTTTGGATAGTCTCAGGCATGGGAGATGCTCGCACTTGCTGTCCTATCT